AAACCTAAATCCTGAAAGTTACCTCTGTGGTCCTTGACTACATTCAGGAGTAGCCTTCTTAAGTGAAAGCTTTACCAAGCAGTACTGTGAAGGTGACCCAGGTCTGCTGCTTCCCTCAGGATTCCTGGTAACAGTGGAGGCAGTGAAGCCTTTTGTACTCTGAGGAGGACAGCAGTGCATCAGTTTGTTTAGTAAGCCTTGTGACTAACATAGCTGGCTAAAAAGAGAATTCTGAGATTAAATTCAGCAGAAACAGTTGCTTTGGTCTTGCCAGTGTGTTTGGGAAACCTTTCACGTGAAACTGGATTTTTCAAGACTTAGATTGAGCACACCACCTATAACAATATGACTTTAATATCTGAATACCACTTCAGAGTTAAAATTTGTAGAAAGAAGAAAGTATTCACAAATTAACCTGAGAGGTTCATAAGCTATTGTAAACGCTCAAAACTACCTATTGTTGAAAGTTCGTTTTCATGGGTAAATGGTATCCCTCAGGAACTACTAACAATACATATCTGCTTTTAGCCACTTTTTGACAGAGTGCTGGGCTTCTTATTTAGCGCCTTCTGTACAGAACCTTTTCTGAAGTACAGGCATGATGCAATGCCTTCTTCTTTCTCTGGATTGGGTCTTGGTAATTATTAAGTTCATTTTACAATTGGGGCTGCAGAGACTTCCTGCACCTCAGCTGATTTAAGTAGTTAGTGCTCAAGACTGTGAGACTGGGGGCTGCTGCCCACCACAGCTATGCTGATCTATATGCATGTGTTTCATTCCCACTGCAATTTCCACCCAATAATTCAGGTCGACATACATGCTTGTAATTAACATGCCAGCAAATCTGATGGACATAGTATTGTCTGGCACAGGGACAGTGATGAGCATCTGGAAATGTTCTGGGGACAGTAAGCGCTTAGTCTATTTCAGTGGCAGCCAGCAGCACATTTATCTGATGGCAAACTTGAGCACAGATTTTCCTTCAATGGAGTCCTTTCAAAGTAAGGATTAGAAAACAGTTCTCCCACCTTTATGCTCTTGCCATTATTATCTTTGTGCATAAAACATAAGCTGTCAGTCTTAGACTTGCTCATATTTGCCACAAAATGCCATCCAGAAGTATTTTCCTATTGGATGCACAAGACCTGTTTCCATGTATCCTTTGTATACAAATTTTGTAGTTTTTAAGTGTGGTTGTGAACCAGAAAGCATTTTGAAAGTACAGTCCTTGGTTTTTAATGTTGTTTCAGTAAATATTAAGCTCTGCCTTTGAATGAGTAATACCAAGAGACTGAAATATTAGTGTTTGTTGCTAATGTGTGATTCTTTTATTCTGTATCTTTCCAGATTAAATACAGATGTTGAACTGTGTCAGAGTTTGAGACGTCTGCTAGCTGATGAAATTGTTATGAGTTCCCTAGATCCAGAAACCAGGTACTTATTAATGCTTATGGGTTTAGATTTTTAGATAGTATATATCATTCCTTATTGTGCTTGTATTTTGTGTTTTGTTAAATTAATTAATACAACTGGAAAACATACCACATCTCTGTTACCTACTAAATTACCTGCACAGGAGTTAGGAAGTTTGTAGCTGTGTGGTCTTGGAGGATGTCTCTGTGACTGTAGAGCACAAGATATATTTAAGCTGAATAACTGAGATCTGCAAAAACAAAAAAATGAGGACTTAAGATTTTCTTCAATAACACCATTTTCATGAAAATGAGGTGCTGTACTGTGGTGTATATATCAGTGTTTTTAGCAATAAAAGTAGGGAACAGACTATATAACTTGATTTCAGTTTATAGAAACTTATTTATATCTTTCAAAATCAGATTACCAGTATATTTATTTAACACTTACTTCATGATTACTGTAAAATGTTTTATTAGCTGCTTATTCAGTTATAGTTTTGAATTATTTCTTCACTGACGTGGTTAGACAAGCTTAATGTTTGAGTAAGTTCCTTCTTCCTTCTTTCCCCACAATCAAGGATGTTAGATTTGAAGAGGTCTTTTTCTGATCTGCTAGAATAAATGAAGTGTCAAATTAAAATGGTAATTTGCACAAGTTGGTTAAACATCTAGATTAATGTAAATGGTAATTTGCACAAGTTGGTTAAACATCTAGATTAATGTAGTGGAATTATTTTGAAGGATATTTTCAATGCAGATGACTAAAATAACTACAAAGGAAAAATCCTGTTTTAGTGAGTAAACTGTTAAGGACCTAAAACATAAGAAGTCTGTGTCCATAATAACAGTACTTATATAACTGTGTTGTTAGTCTCTGTAAAAGACATGAAACCTAAATAACTACTAAAGGCAAAATCTGTTAAGAAATTATGCTTACTATCAAATGAGGCTGTTTTAACGGGGATTTACTGTATTTTTAGGCGAGTGGCAGAACTTTTTATGTTTGATTTTGAGATCAGTGGCATTCATTTGGATGAAGAAAAGGTAATTTTTGGCTACAATATATGAACAGAAATTTGCCTGACTACCAAGAAAACAGATAATGGAACATGTGGGACATGAATCATGTGATTCTGGGCCAGTTTGTCCTCCAAGATACCCGTTGTCCTCTGTGGAATTTTGTCTTCTCAGAAGTGATTAATTTTATCTGTCTTAAGTCGCTTTTAAAGTGTGTTTTTTAATGTTGTTTTAGATATTAGTTGGCTGTTCTTCCCAGTTTGGCCCTCATCATTCCTTTGTCTGTTCTGAAGAGTTATAAGCAAGACCTGGGATCCTGCTTTTTTTGGTTGGTGTCTGCATCAGATATTTAAAATAGCTGCTTAGCTGTCTGAACAACCTGTTTACAGAGGGGGAAAAGCAGCACCCTGTGCACTGTAGTGACAGGTTAATCAAGTAGAGTGTTTTAGAAGGGATCAGGTGTGTGTCCAGGCTCTCCTTTGGTGCTCACACAACCAGAAGTTGTAAATCTTGTTCAAAATTGAATGTCTGGGCATGGTCTGATTACCTCTCTTGGAGCTTTTACATGCTTTTGCAGAAGTTAGTGATGGATTTGCCAAAACCATCAGTTTTCACCATGCTTTGTGGTATGGATGCTCTGTTGGATGTCTGTTCGTAGCTCACGTCCCTGTATAAAGTTAATACCCTGGTTATTTGAGTCATCTCTCTTTTACCAGATTTATGTGGTAAAGTTACTCTGAAGATCATGGTTGTGATAGTGTTTTGTGACCTGGAAAATGCTTCTAGAATATATTTTTACAAAAAACAACTCTGAAACTTGGACTCTGGGTTTTATTTCTGATTTGACGATTGGTTCTACGGTGCTTCATCCCCTTTCAGTTACAGTTTCACTTGCCCCTTATTTTTGCACGTTTTCCTCCCCTGCCTATTCCACTTTTCTTCTATTGTTTGCTGCTCAGTGTTTCTTTTCAATTCTCATTTCAGATTTAAAAATCCTTCACTGTCGTAAGTTGAAATTTACTTCTGCTACAAAGAATTTCTTCTTTTTAAAATAAAACTCAAAAGATGTGTTTTAAAGAGTGAGGGTGGAATGGGAGGACAGAGATCTACGGGTTTTGTCATTCTTACAAGTATGTTGTATCTCTCAACCTTTTCTTTTGAGCTATGAACCCACAGGCAATAGAGAGCACACTCTACTAACATGAGCAAGTTCACTGAAGCAAATCTTACAGTAAGGTTAAATGTGTGAAATACTGTAATGATGGTGATAAAACTGTAAATCACAAACTCCTCATGGAAAGGTTGAAATACCACAAATGCTTTATGGTCTCCAGAAAATAGTGCAATACAAACAGTAACAAGAGAACTGTTACTCTGTATCTATTTCAGGATGCTAGTAGGATTTATCCATCTCAATGATGCTGCTTTTTTTCCGCCTCTGTGTTTTACATAGCAATCATAGTAGGCATAGTTTTATAAATGCTTTCCAAGCAGCTAGCAAAGCTTATGTAAATTCTACTTGAACTCCACTGTTCCTTTTCTTACTGCAGAAACATAGGCATTTTCTTTCAAATTTCAATCCGGTGTGAAATTAGAGGTCTGTATGAGCATCTGATCTTGTTGACTTCAGCCCTACGTTAGGATTTTGTTGATGCTGTAGGTCTAATCCTAAATGTTGTATTTTCTGCTTCATTTCTGGAAAAGTCCTTTAAGGTTTTAGAAACTTTGAGTTCTGCCTGTACTATGTCTGAAGATATTATGTATTTTGTACTTTATTTTTCTTACAGCGTAAAAAGGCGGTCAACCTCAACATCAGAATATTGGATTTATGTAATGAATTTCTGACAGGAACTCACCTTGCCAACAAGATTGACAAACATGTTTTGCCAGAGCATATTCGGTATAATTTTACAGCTGAAGGCAATTACTTACAAGTTGCTGGTCTGCATGCTGATAGTCCTGATGATCTGGTATGTATTCCCCGAGTTTGCTTTGGCGTACTCTATAACAAAAGAGCATATCAGTTATTTTACGTGTTATTTTGGCAAATGCATATGGTTTATGATTATGATGTTAGGACTAACAAGGAAGAACTGTTTTAGAACATAATAATCAATGGCAGCCTTGGCTGTAGCAGCTATGAAATAATGGAGGTGAAGATCCTGAATGGATTGAGGAGAAGAGGGACAGAATACAGACCCTGGATTTAAGGCAAGCAGGCTTCAGCTTATTCAGTAAACTGGGAGGTGGGATCCCATGGGATGCAGCTAAAAAGGGTAAAGGAGCTCAAGAAGCTGGCAGTTCTTTAAAGGTATTATTCTCCAAGCATGTGAGGATACTAAGATACTCAGTATCAGTGCATCCTGATCCTTAGAAAGCCAAGCAGATGTATCAGGAACCAGGCTTGGCCAGCAGGGAACTCATGGCAAAGCTTCATCTCTGAAAGGTAGCAGACATGAGGTGGAAGCAGGTACAAGATACAAGGGAGGAATTTAGAAATACTGCCTGTACATGTAGGGATGATGTCAGGAAGGCCAAAGCTCAACTGCAGTTGAGAGTTGCAAGGGACGTCAAGGGCTACAAGAAGAGCAACTACTGCTGCATTAGTACTAAAAGGCTGGACAAGGACAAGTGGGCTCAGTGCCGAGTAAGGTGGGTGACTTAGTGGCAGCAGACACAGATGAGGCGAGATGCTGATTGCTTTCTTTGCCTCAGTGTTCACCAGTGAGTTCTCCCAGCCCACTGTGCTTAGTGAAAGGGTTCAAAGAGAAGAAGAACCAGCAGTAGGTCAGGATCCTGTTTGGGATTACTTGAGAGAACTCAACCTGTACAAGTCCTTGGGACCAGATGGGCTGCATCCAAGGGTTCAGAGACAACTGGCTATTGTTCTTGAAAGGCTTGCTGTCTTTGGTAAGCTGTGAAGATTAGGGAAGAACCCCAATGACTGGTGGAAATAACATGTTTCACTCACCTTCAGAAAGGCTGAAAAACCCCAAATTGGGGAGCTACAGGCAACTTAGCTTCACTTTGATCCCTAGGAAGGTTATGGAGCAATCCAAGTTAGGAGATTACAGTCTGGATTGGTGGACAACCAAATAGGTAAAAAACCTCATTTCATGATCAGACTCGGAGAGTAGTGATTGTACTTACTGAAAGGCTGGTAATGAAAGAAGTGTTGCCGGGGTCTCTCCTGGGATCTCTCCTGTTAAACATCTTTATCAATGACCTAGAGGAAGTGGCAGAGTGCTTGCCTACCAGATTTGCAGGTGATAGCAAATTGGGAGGAACAATCGATACACTGAAGGGCAAGGCTGACATTCAGAGTGGCCTAGAAGCTGAGGGAATGGTCCAATGGGAATCTTATATAATTCCAGAAGGACAAATGTGAAGTCCTGCACCTGGAAAAGGAGAATTCCTGGCAATAGTACAGGCTGGGACTGCTTGGCTGGGTCCGATTTGTGGAAAAGGTCCAGAGGGTTGGTGAGCAGCAAGCTGAGCATGAGCCAGCAGTGACCCTGGCAGCAAAGAGGGCCAACAGCATCCTGGACTGCATCAGCAGGGGCAGAGCCAGAGACTGAGGGAAGAGATTATAGCCTTTTACTTACCACTCTTTAGGAGTGACTTCAGAGGAGGCCACCAAGATGACCAGGAACTTGGTCACTTACACTGTGAGGACAGGCTGAGGGATCTGGGCTTGTCCACCCTGTAGCAGAGGTGGCTTTGGGGGGACCCTGACAACAGCCTGCCAGTACATATGAGGATATCATGGAGAAGATACAGCCAGGCTTTTCAGAGAGCTGCATGACAGGAGGACAAGTGGCAACAAGCACAAATTGAAGTGAGAAGTGCCAATTGGAGAAGTTTTTCCTGATGACGATACCCAAGCAGTGAAACAGAGAGGTCATGCTGTCTCTCTCATCTGTGCAGGGTTTCAGGACCTGACTGGAAAAAGCTTTGCGCAACTTGGTCTTACCTCATAGCTGACCCTGCTTTGTGTAGGAGGTTGGATTAGAGACCTCCTGAGGTCCCATCCAACGAGAATTATCCTGAATAATCTTATTTTAGTTATTGCTAATGATGCTTTTCTAAAAAGAATTCATTTAGAGTTTGTTTATAAATTGAAAATTAATTTAGACTCTTTGAAATGTGACAGTGGTTCCTTAGTCTTTTAGATATGACTCTAGGATCAGGAGTGTATTACAACACTCAAGTGTTCTGTTTTCACTTACTATATAGTTAAATAATGAAAGTGACTTTGAAATCTTGTTTGTCACGAAAACGAGAAAAGCTTACTGTGGTAGAACCCAAGCTGTAATGTTTATTTTCTGTAAGAAATTAAAAATGAACTAAATTATGGCACTGGTAGGATGTAAATAAAGGAATAATACTCACTGCACGTCTTCTATAAACTCTTGTCCTGAAAATAGTGTGATCTGTAGAATCGCTACTGAAGCTATGAGTAATATGTCAATTAAAGAATGCAGTTCTCCAAGTCAGATCTTTGGAGAAGCTCTTCGGAAATCGTATAATTTAGGTTGGAAGGAACCTCTGGAGCTTGTCAGTTTGAGTTTGATCCTATTCAGAGCAGGATCAAGTAGATCAGGTTTCTCAGTGACATGTCCAGTTGAGTTTTGAACACTTTCCAAGGATGAAGATTCCATTACTTCTCTGGGCAGCCTGTTGGACCATCCTCACTATTATTTTTTTTTCCTGATATCAAATTGGAATTTCTCATCTTCCAGTTTGTGTCTATTACCTCTCCTCCTCTTGCTCTGCACCTCCAAGAACAGTCTGGCTGCATGTTCTCTACACCTTACTGCTAAGTAGATAAAGATTAAGATCTCCTTTGAGTTTTTTCTTCTTTAGGCTGGACAAACCCAGCTCTCTCAGCCTCCATTCTGTGTCACGTGCTCCAGCCTCCAAATGTCTTGTTGGCCCTACATTGGACCCACTCCAGTATGTCAGTATCTTTCTTGTCCTGCGGAACCCAAAGCTGGACATTGTACTCCAAATGTAGTCTGGGCAGTACCAAGTAGAGGGAAGCAATCGCATCCGTGGACCAGATGGTTGTACTCTTTCTGATAGAGCTCAATATGCTGTTGGCCTTTGCTGCAAAGACACGCTGCTGAAAAGAGGAATCATCTCACTTACTTTATTTGCTTTTTTTAAAATGAAAGCCTGGTGGAACAGAAGAGGTACGAAATGACTTGTGAATTATTATAGTAATATTTTTTATAAACCCAGGACCTGCATTCTTGTTGGATATATTATGCAAGAAAGAAGCTTATTTCAAATGAAGACAAGCATAAGTTGTTGCTGGATTTCTTAAGCCTATTCCATATGTACAATATCTTCAATTGGTTTGTGAAACATAAAAAGCATTTTACCAAATTTTCTGAGGCTTGAGGTGATTTTTTTTTTTTTGAGAGTTATGAAAAAACCCAAACAAACCAGAAATAAGAGACAGACTGATTGTCTGTGGGCAGATGGGCAGACTAATAGCTTGCTACTTCAAAAGAAATAAGGCTTTTCTCTTCCTCTTTTTTTCTCTTCCCTGACCCTGTCTCTGGTTCTTATCAGATCCTTCTATAAGCCAGCTTAACAGACGTGCAGAGAACAATTTGGCTTTCTTCTGCATTTATTTTCAGAAGTTTTAGTGAGTTAAGACAGCCCACAGAGTAGTCTGAGAAGCACAGATGTTGGCAGAAAGAGGGAGGCAGTGAGCAGAGAGGGGACTGTTGACAGGAGTAGAGAACAGGACCCTTTTTGGCAATCTTGACCTGTTAGGTTGTCTCATTGCATTTCCTCATTCCATCTTTAAGGGATAGGAGAGCCGCAAGTGTCAGGCAGTCGTAATTACTATTACTAAAAGTCTTTAGGCCTTTTCCCAACAATATCAGTGAAATACAGCTGTAATGCCAGATCTTCAATTGCATCACCTGTTTCCCTTAAAAATTGCACTGTAGTAATGTGACCTCTTTTTTTTTTTTTTTTTGTATTAGGTGCGAGAAGCTGCTTACAAGATTTTTCTTTACCCGAGTGCTGAACAGTTGAGCCGTTTAGAAGAATTGCTTGCTAGCCGAAACAGCCTGGCACAGTTGGTTGGGTACGACACCTTTGCCCACAGGGCTCTTCAGGGAACAATGGCCAGAAATCCAGGTATAAGGCACGTGTGGAAGGACATGCTGAGAAATCAAATGCACTGTGTTAGATATGAGGTCAAAAGTTGTTAGTTTCTTTTGCTAAGTTTACACTTACTTCTTCCAGTGAAGTATCTCATTGCAGTTACATTTTGCTGTATGCAATATGCATGCTTTCTATAAATGGCAATACTCACTGAGTAGGAACCAATGTTTTTGTTCAGAATCAATGCTCACTCCTTAAATTATGAAGTTGCCATTATCCCAGCGTGTAACAAAGGATGGTACTAAATGTGGTACTAAATTCTCTTGAAATGACGGCACAGTGGTTAACGGAGTGGTTTGTTGTTCTAAAAAGAACTGTTGTTCTAAGGGAGCTTGTTTTGTTTGGAATGTTTTGATGTAAACTTAACATCATCTACGGGAAGAAATCACTTAATTTTTTTTTTTCCCCCATTTTACTTCTAGAGACAGTAAGACAGTTTCTGAAGAAGCTTTCTGACCAGTTGTCCAAAAGGTATGTCTTTTCCACTAAGTTATTTTTCTAACCATACTCTTTATTTCGAGAATAGAGGGACTTGGGCACTAATAAGTCAGTCAGTGCTGCTTATTATATGCTGCTCTGATGAAACAAAAGGAAAGAGTTTCTCAAGGTTTTGAGGGGAGCTATTGGCTTAGAATAAATTCTGTGTCTGTGATCAGAGAACACCCCGGACTGAATGTGCCAAGAAATGCAGGCAACAGCAAACAAGAAGACCAAGTTTAAGTGTTGAAGAAAACCTCTCCTGGTCTTCTCCCCATACACACAACTCCATATATTTTACATCTATAAGCAAATTCCCCTTTTTGTCCTTCTTGCCTCCCTTAGTTCCACACAGCACAAAACAGTTACATCATTATGTATAAACGGGGTGTATTGTAAGAAAGAAAATGCTTTGGGGGTGTACAACCACAGTAAGAGGGACTTGATTTGAAGGTACCTGAATGACAGAAGAAGAATGGAAAAGTTCTTTTACCATAGTATATGGGCCTGCCATTTCATAGAATACTATCAATCTCTGATGATGGGCATTTTCTTAGGATGGCGTAGTATTGTGTTCTGTATTCCATTGCTCAAAAATCTTTCATTAACATTTTCATCTTAAAAATATTTTTCAGAACTCAAAAAGATTTTGAAATGATGACAAAGATGAAAATGAAGCTCAATCCCCAGAATTCAGTAAGTTAAATTTTCATGTGTCGTTTTCTATTTTGTTTCTTTTTAAAAATATAGTAGAAGCTAACCCTGTTCTACACAAAAAATAACTCTATTTTAGTGTGCAACACGTAGGATAATTAGAAAGAGAATCTTTTTGTCTTCTGGCTTCAAATGCTTTTTGACTGCTTAGTTGCTATTTATATTAAACCAAGCATTGAGTGCGAGGTAGCTCTTGGTTTATACAAAATGATACTGAGATAACCAAAACATAAAGTGGTGAAAGTGAATATTACTTTGTTTTGAATCAGTTAATAGACTCATTTGAAAAATAAGGCTGTACTTCAGGTTAGATGCATGTCCAGTTTGCATACTGTATTTTATGTATCCTAATTCTGTACATAACTAGGTTTATCTTTTTATTTGAATTGAGTGTATTTCTTGAAATCTGGTATGAAGTCCCATTATATATTTGAATAAGAAGTACCATCTTCAAGCAAATGTTAAAGAAAAGGTTTAAAGTTATGATATATGATTCTATTTCTGCTATTTCTGATGATATTTTTAGCACTGAATGTTTCCCATTATGTTTTAAAGTTCTGTGACTTGTCGAAACTGCAAAAATATTCAAAGGAAATGAAACTTTTACTTTGGGTTCACTTGTTGTCCACTGTTGTAATTATAAGCTGGAATTCTCTTTCAGAAGCTGATGCCATGGGATCACCCTTACTACAGTGGCGTCCTTCGTGCTGAGAGGTAAGCTCCTTGTGTTCATGATTGTGATGTAAATGAGTATCTTTATTTCATTCCTTGCAATAAGGATAAAGAAAGTCCTCAATGTAAACACGATTTCCTTCTTTGAAGGTGTACTTCAATATGAAAAAATAGAGTATCTGGTGGGGCAGTTGTTTGTAACATTTCTTAGTTACTGCTGGAATGCCTGTAGAAGTTTTTGGCTCCTCTGTTGTTTTATGGGGAAGTATTGGCCCTCTTTGAAGATATAAGAGGATGAAATGGTTTCAGAACAGGTAGAAAATCTTTATTCTTGTTTTGGTTTTAGCTCTTAGCTGAGCTGCAGTAATGTTTAAAAATAAATTTTGATCACTGAATACACAACTCCACTTCATATTTTAACTGTATTGTACTGAACGTGCACCTATCATCCCCTTCCACAGACTTGAAATAGCAACTTCTTGAGTAGATCTTCACTGTTTATCGATAGAATTCATTCTCATCTTTCCTGCAAAGACTAGGAAATAAATACTCTACGCAGACTTAAATAGTGCACAAGACTTTTGCACATAATGAGATGCCAGCTCTGAAAGATGTGAGCCCTGCATGTTGCCTTTATTGGATCAGCAATGGTGACCTTTTAGGTTTGTGTTGGAAAAAATAATTTAAAGTTGTGCTTCTCTCACAAGAGGGGGGGGAAAAATCATCCTTCACTGCAGATTTGTAGGTTTTTGTTTTTTAAACAAACTTGGACTGGATATATCTGATAAAAGTAGTAGTTTACTCTGGATCAGAAAGCTATGGCAGTATAGACGTGGCATGGAAGTATGGCCAGCAGTTGGCCAACTGTTCTGCTGCTTTCTTGTACTTTTTTACTGAGGTAGTAGTTTTATGAGCAGCAGCTCTAATATTGGCCTTGTCTTAAGCTACTGCATGCTCAGGTGGGAACTGAGCTACGTTTGTGCAGCAATGTTCATGTCCTGGGTGCGCAGAACTTGCCACGCAGGGGAGGGAGAGGGATGTCCAGCTGCTGGGTCTGCTCCCGGTAGCTGATGCTGGAGCACACAGCACTCCACACTGTATGCGTGGATTGCTTGTTTGTGGCATGGCCTGGGAGTGGCTGCTTTTGTTTTAAACTAGATAGGTAGCAGACACGCTTCTGTGAAAGTGGGAATGAAGTCTCTCTGGAGGAGAGTCAAGGTCCATCTAGCTCCAAATCCCATCTTAGCAGTCGTCAGTAGCAGTCTGTGGAAGGGCACTGTCATACTTGTTCAAGATACTATATTGTAGCTTGCAGATCTCATTTACCTTGCCTATATAGTGTCTTCAAAACAGCAAGAATTATATTATGATACATAGTGCTTAACATTACTGTCAAATGTTAATGAAATTTGTTGTCTACATATCCTATTTATTTTCTACATTTGCTATAGTGTCTGCTTTCCCTGTTTTCAAAATTAGTGTGTCCCATAAGGGTTAGAGCATTAGGTGTAGAAGGCTCTGTGTTTGTTTCTTTCTTCTCCTGGAGGAGTGTCTTCTGATACTGTCTTACTGTCCTTCTTAGATCATCTTATAAAGCTAACCATATTGTAATTGAGTTGCTGACAATCACAAATAGATTATTCTGCTCATTTTGGCATTAGGAAGGAAAATATTTCCTTTCCTTGTGGGGCTTTGTAAAAGACCCGATAAAGTTACTTTACTTTAAGAATTGCACAGTAGCTTTATGAAGGGAGAGCTGCAGGTAAAAGAGACTAAGACGTTGGCACTGTATCTGTGCTATTTTTTATTTATCCAGGCACCAAGTCTGGCAGCTGGGTCAGTGTGAAGAACCTCCTGAACCTATGTAGGGCCCTCCTGATTACGATGCAGGATTGGGGCCCAACTTTTTTCTCCCTCCAGGTTGGGTAGGAGTGTTTTTTTCTGGCAAGTATACAAGCACCTACAAGACAGGGAAGGAAAAGTAGTTTTCCTCTCCATCGTGTGCAGCAGTGTTTCGCTAAAAACCAAGGGTTTAGGTCTTTCACTGTCCTGTTTTCTGTATAGTGGTCTGTCTTTGGGAAAAGTTTTTGATCTGGCAGTGACTTAACAATGCTTTACATTCATTCTGCCCATATTGTAGGTATTTAACAGGGTACTGGATACTGGGTAATCAGCCCTGAAAAGTAAAACTCACTTCTCCACTGCATAGTGTCAGTGGCTGTGCTTTATGACTGAACTAGGCAGGAGTCAGAGAGTATTCATACAACAATCAGAGGACAGAAATATACCTTGTCATGTCTGTGCCCTAAACATGTTCTATTTGCCACTTATTATCTATGTAAATGCGAATCCACTATCCTTTATAGAATCATAGAATCATAGAA